TGTGTCGTTGGTCGATTCCGAGGGGCTCTGAGCCCCTTGCGGGCTGTCCTGGCGGACCCACTGGCACTGGCGGGTGTGGGTCCTCGGGGAGGCATCCCGTCCCGGGTGTTCGGCTCTGAGCGAGGGACATACTGCCGGTCCTTGAACACATGGACAAGGGAGTGTGGCTGTCACGATCCGCTCTGTGCCAGGACAGGGCTCTTTGTCCATTGTCCTGGCATTTCATGACCCCGTCTCCCCAGATACCTGCACCCATTGCCGTCACCACCCGTCCCATCGCTGTGAGCATGAGTGAGATGGTCCTTCGGCCCCCTGGGAGATTGGCCCCTTGCTCCCAGGGTCACGGGCAGCAGGCTGGTGCCGGAAGCTGGTAGTACATGCTGAGCATGTGCTGAGATAGCCCTGGGCAGGAAGTATTTTCAGATGAGGCCCCAAGGCTCAGAGGGGTTAGGTGACTGGGCTGAGTTTGCACAGCCATGAGCCATGAAGGAGCGGCTGTTCCCGCTGGGGTCTCCGCTTGCTGGTCCTCCCTCCACGCTGCAGGGCCTCGTTCTAGATAACACCCAGTACAGGGCCTTGTGAACACACCAGCAGTTGACTGGGAGTGCCTTTCCCTGCCTTCTCTGAGCCTCAGCTTCCCCATCTGTACGATGGGAGGAACACCTACCCCTTTTACAAGGCTCTTTGAACTTGAAGTGAGAGCCAGATACTGGCTCTGCGTAAACTGTAAGTGCCTGTCGCCTTCCTGGAGAGTAAAAGGGACTGTCACCTTTGCCTGTTGCTCCCCCGTGGCCTCCTGCTTTCTGTCCAACTGGACTCACCCCAGCAGAGAACAGAGCTGCCTGCATATTCGTTTCCACGGGCATTCCCACTGCGCACGTGGACAGAGCATTCACACACCCAGCTCAGATCTTCTGGGAACTAGCGCTTCTCCTAGGGGTAGAAAGTAACACAGAGCACTTCTGAGTAAATCCTGAGTAACTCACCTGCTCAGACTGGTTCTAGCTCCAGCCAGGAGCAGGACACACACATCCTAGGCAGTGTTTCGTTTCTTTGAATGTTTATCTGTTAAACCACACACCGTACCCACATGCATGCACGTGCGCAATTTATAGTGCCGTCCCGAGCATTATTCGGTAGATTTGGGCCCCGTGGACCTGTTTCTGGCCATTGACTGGCAACATGGTGTTGACTGCAGAGTCATGAGTGATGATTCTCTGATTCTGATGCAGGCGGATGAAACCTGTGTGAGGCAGGGAGCAGGGTCCCAAGGGGCTGGTGGTGGCTGGGAGCTGACTGGTCCTGGATGGGAGTCTGTGGTATTGGGCCAGTCACCCCCCATCTCAGGCCTCGGCATCTCCACTTACCAACAAGACGACTGGTGGGGTGTCCAAATTTAAAAATGTGGGTTACACAAGAGCCCGCAGGGGAGAGCTGAGTCAGCTTTGGCTGTCAGGACAGGACCCAAGGCCCACGCTCTTGTGCCGACGGAGGAGCCAGCCGGGGGCCTCCACCTGCTGGGGGCAGGTCGTGGCTCTGGTAACGGCGTCAAGACAAATAGCCGCAGGCTTGGGATGCACGCACACCACCCCCCTGCATGTGGTGCTGGGGTCCTCGGTGGGGCTCCAGCAGTGATAAAGTTGGGTGAATCCCCACATCTGAAGGCCATGGCTTTGATCCCAAGCTGCTGAATAAACTGGGGGTTCAGCTCCAGCTGGTGTGAGTGTGAGTATGTGTGTGTGTTCACTCTTTATTCTGGGGGGGGACAGAGTAATTGAAATTGAAGTGAGGCAGCTGTGGGGTTGTTCCAAGTGCACAAAATCACAGGGTTGGGGCCTGTGAGGCTCTCAGAGCCTGCAGGGGTGGTGCTATTGGGCAGTTTTTCATTGTTTGTCCAAGCACACAGCTGGTGTCCCAGGACACATGTGTCCTGGGGGACATGCACAAGAAGGCGGGAGTCACTGTCATCTTCGGGCAGCCGGCTTGACCTCCCCGAGCCTCATCTTTCTCACCTGTAAAATGGGGTGATGCCACCCAGGGGGTGGGTTATTTTCAGGGGTCAGTGGATTTGGACCATGACAAAAGGGCCCCCACACATCGTTTGTAAATGAACACTCCGTTCCATCTCTTCACATCCTCCTTGCTGCCTTTGACTGGCAAATGATGATCAGCTTCTGAAGTCCTTAAGAGGATGTCTTTTTTATAAATGTCACAGAAACTGATCTTTTATCCAAGGTAGCTTTTTAAAAACGTTCTCATCCAGTGCGGATTTACTGGGCACCTTCTGCGTGCTCCTCCCTGGGCACAGGGCATGGGGGAGCCAGAGCCGGGAAGGGGCAGACCTGCTCCCAGGCACATGCACTCCTAGAATCTCAGGGCTGGAGGAAAGCCAGCGCTGAAGGGTTGGCTTGTTTCTCTGCAGCATCTTCTACATGGGAAACTGTACCTTCTGTTCGCACATGTCCACTGCCAGGGAGCTCACCATTTCCTTACCATTCTGCCTTCAGCTTTGACTGGTGGGTTCATCCATAAACTGAGCTGAATTTCTCTCCCCAATGTCCCCCCACTGGACCAGTTTGGCCTGTGGGGCCACACAGACTGAGTCAGTTCCCTCTTAACCACGAGAACCCACCAGACACTGAGGACAGGGAGCCTCATCTTCTGTGAGCCTTGTCTTCTCTTGGTTAAACATTCCACATTCCTTCCAGGGTGCCTTTTGGAATAGGGTTTTGGATCCCTTCTGCCCCCTTAGTGCTCTGCTCAGAATGCACTTGGGTTTGTCTCTGTTGCCTTAAAATAATATGTCTGCAGTCAAACCCAGCTGCCCAGCAAACAGCCATTCTGACCACCATCTGCCTCGGTCCTCAGGGCTCTCTTCAAAGTAGGTGGCTGTGGTGGGCGCCCTGGTCTTAGTGAGCATAACCCCTGCTGAGTGACGGATGGGTGACATTGGAGAAGTCACTTAAACCCCCTACGCCTCAGTTTCCTCAGCTGTAAAATGGGGGAATTCACTCAGTGCTTCATAGGGTTGCTGTGGGATTAAAGGAGGTATAGCAGGTGAGTAATGCACCCAGATGGTTAACCAGTCACGGTTGGCTGACATGGTCATTGTCAATTTGATCTGGACCCCTGGGGAACTCCTTTACTGAGCTGGGCTGGCATCTGTGATCCTATAGGAAGTCTGGCCTCACCAGTCTGACACAGGAAGGGCCTGCCACCCCCACCCCCACCAGGAGGAAGGGCTAAGGAAGAGAAGAGAAACAGCGACTTTCATTATATTTAACACTTAAAGAGCACCTGCTGTTTGCCAGGCACTGTTCTAAGTCATTTTCAACTATTAACTCATCTAATCCTCAAAACAACCCATTGAGGTATTATTATCCTCATTTCCCAGATAAGGAACCTGAGGAACCGTGAACAGTATGTAACCAGGTAAATGGCAGAGCCACCAGGACAGCCCAGGTGGAGAAGAGACACCAATCTGAAAACCTACAGAGCATGGTTGGTTTAGGGAGAAACAGAAGTTGTGTGGAGCAGGGGTGCAGAGAGATGGGAGGAAGGTAGGATGGGCTGGGAGAAGCACACCTCTCTCATGCTTCTCCTCGCTGCACTCCAGGCTCTGTGCCCGAGAGCCATGCATCAGCACTGACACTCCCACCAGCCCTGGAAGTAGGCACAGACAGCCTGGGCTGGACTCCCGGCCGCACCCCTTCCTGGCTGTGTGACTCTGGCACCTTGCCTGTCCTCTCTGACCCTCGGTCTCCTCATCATTAAAATGGAAGTAATAATCGTCCCCACTGCACAGGGCTGCTGTGAGGATCAGGTGCTCAGTGTACGGGAAGGACTCTGATCCTGTATGAGAATTTCTGAAGAGAGCCACTTGCCCAGACTGGCTCCTGTGGTCGGTGGCAGAGCTGAGTTTCGTCCTCATCTGTCTGGTTCTGGACGCACCACACCACCTCATGGTCGACCAAGGCCTGTCCGCACACCAGCCAGAATGCCCCTTCCTTCATGCCACTGCATCAAATGCTGTCACCTGGCATCCCCCCCATTATCTTTTTGATATTTTATCTTCCCTCTCAACCCGAACTCAAATCCCAGATCCCCCCAGCTGGTGCATGAATTCCCCTCTCCCAGTACAGACCTTCTTCTGGTGCACACCCCCAGTGACATAGTCACTGCTGCTGCTCCCCGTGTCGGGCTGGGGTCCCCTCCTTCGCAGTGGGTGACTAGAGCACACCTGGAGCAGAGGGTTAATTAAATCACACAGCAGGGTTTGTAGAACATGGGATGCTTCATTAGGCCCTGCGTGAACGAGCACGCCCAGACCCCGCGCAGGCTCGTGAGCTGGTGTAATTACAGTTACACGCGGCTCCAGTAGCCCCGAGAGGCCCCACCAGCCGGCTCCTGCTTGGCACCCCACAGAAAGTGGCCCTGGGCTCTGAAGCCCAGTTCTAAGCAGGCATGCCCATCTCTTGCTGGCTTGCTGGTGGCGCAGAGCTGGGGCCCTCCCTCTGTTTAAGGGCATCTGAGGGACACATGAGGTTCAGATGGTGACACCAGTGTGGCTTCTCCTATAAACTGTGTTTCCTGAGAGATCGCCCTGAACTCTGGAACCAGCTAGGACTTCAGGTGGAGGTGAAATGGAGTTTTCATCAAACAGATGCCAAATGAAAGACAGGAAGAACATTGCAGATCCATCTGCTCAAGTTAGGGGGCTGAGAGCCTGGCAGCACTGGCCAGTTTTCCAGGAAGTTCTGAGGCCACGCTGGACATGGGCTTTGTAGTGAGGGTGCCCTGGGATCCTATTGGGGACCCTGAGACAGGGATGCTCCTGGCTGGCTCTCGCCTCTTGAACTGGACCCAAGGCAGCCGCCCCTGATCTGTTCCATCCTCCCTTCTCTACCCACCGACCTCTGCAACCCTTGCCCTTGGGGTTTCTCAGACTTCCTGTGGCAGACATGCTCAGGGGCTGGTTTAAAAGCCAGCTTCCGAGTCAGGCGCTGCGATCTGGGAGAGACGACCTGAACTGACGGGACTGGGTTCCCGGAGCACCCCAGCTGCGGGGAGTATTAACGGCAACATCCATAGTAGTGTAAAAACTTTCACAATGAAATCTGAAGCCAAGGATGGAGAAGAGGAGAGTCTACAAACTGCTTTCAAGAAATTAAGAGTGGATGCATCAGGGTCCATAGCATCTCTGTCTGTTGGAGAAGGCACAAATGTCAGAGCATCAGTCAGAACATCAGCAGATGATACCAAACCGAAAACCTCATGTGCACCTAAAGACAGTTGGCATGGGTCTACAAGGAAGTCTTCACGAGGAGCAGTAAGAACCCAGCGTCGTCGACGTTCTAAGTCTCCTGTCCTTCATCCTCCAAAGTTTATACATTGCAGTACAATAGCTTCTTCTTCCAGCAGCCAGCTCAAGCACAAAAGCCAGACTGACTCCCCTGATAGCAGCAGTGGGCTGGGAATTTCCACCCCTAAAGAGTTCACTGCAGGAGAATGCTCTACTTCTCTCGATACTAATCCCACAGGGGCAGTCGTTGAGCCTTTGAGAACTTCGGTTCCCAGGCTCCCATCAGAGAGTAAGAAGGAAGACTCCTCTGATGCTACCCAAGTCTCCCAAGCAAGTCTCAAGGCCAATGATCACTCTGACTTTCGATCCGTTTCCAAGCTAAACCAGGGCAAGCCATGTGCATGCATAGGCAAGGAGTGCCAGTGTAAGAGATGGCATGATATGGAAGTGTATTCCTTTTCAGGCCTGCAGAGTGTCCCTCCCTTGGCCCCAGAACGAAGATCCATGCTTGAGGACTATTCTCAGTCGCTCCACACCAGAAGTCTGTCTGGCTCCCCCCGCTCCTGTTCTGAGCAAGCTCGAGTCTATGTGGATGATGTGACCATTGAGGACCTGTCAGGCTACATGGAATATTATTTGTATATTCCCAAGAAAATGTCCCACATTGCACCTGATAGCAAGAAGCTAAGTAATATGCTTTAAACCAATGAAGGGTTGTCAGAGAGATTTAGTTAATGGCAGACCTTGCGGCCACGTTATGTGAGAAGACATCTCCTTCTGCTCACTGTGCTTGCAATAAAAACTTTTCTTGGCATCTCAAAAAAATAAAAAAATAAAAAAATAAAAAAAAATTAAAGCCAGCTTCCCAGGTCCCACCCAGACTGTCTGGGGACAGGGCCAAGGACTCTGCATTTTTAACAAGCACTGCTGAAATCGTCATGCCCTGCTCTGGATTATTCGTGTTTCTCATGGCCTTGGTTTACAGGTCTTGCAACCCCTAGGAATCCTTACACCTGCTGAACTCACAGCCCACTACCTTTCACGAGCCCCCTCCAGGGAGAGCAACGTGATTGGCTCAGCTCTCTAGGCAGTCTGGTGATTGGCTGCCTCTGAAGGGGTGTGTCTACCTCGTGATCCAATCAGCTGAGGGCAGCGTGGAGGCTGTGGTCATGCGGTAAAGAACCACTGACCTAGCTGGTGGCGGGTAAGGGACCGTGAGAAGTCACTGCTGTTAGTTGATCAGGTTAACATTGGACCTCTTTGGGGTGTTGTTGCATAGTTTGGGGATCCTAGTCTCTTCTGCCATTTCAATTTTTTTTCACCAGCCAAATGGCCCACACAATGTTTAAACTCCCAGTAATCACCAGATTTTTGGCATACCCTAAATCAGTGCTGAGCGATAGAAATGTCATGGAGCTTTCTAGTAGCCACATTGCACAAGCAAAAAGAAATAGGTGCAATTAATTTTAATAATTAATTTACATATCCAAAATATGATCAACATATAATCAATATAGAAATTATTGAGATATTTCACATTCAGTTTTTCATATGAGATCTTTGAAATCTGTTGTTTGTTTTATGCTTACAGCATATTTCTGTTCAGGCTAGCCACATTTCAGGGGCTCCGTGGCCACATGTGGCTGGTCGCCACTGTCCTGGGCAGTACAGCTCTGCAGGATGACTTTAAAGATTTTATTTATTTATTTATTTGACAGAGAGAGCAAGAGAGCACAAGCAGGGGGAGCAGTAGAAGGAGATGGAGAAGGAGGCTTCCCACTGAGCAAGGAGCCCGATGCGGGGCTCGATCCCAGGACCCTGGGATCATGACCTAAGCCGAAGGCAGACCGTCTGAGCCACCCAGGCGCCCCCCCCCCAGGATGACTTTATATCCTGTTGATTATGTTTTTATCCACTTTTGAATAGTTTAAAATCATTTAAGTACTTTTCCGTCCATTGGCTAAGAGTATTTGACTTCAAAATGCTAGGTTTTCAGCAATAAATGGTCATAAAATCTGTTGGAGTTTTGAAGGATTAGGTCCCTTCTTCCTGATTCACTCCCTGTGTCCTGATTTTTTCTGGGTCTTTGTTGACAGGTCAGGTAGCCCATTATTTCTGATTAGTAAGTGTATTTATTTTCTGGGGGTGTCCCATTTATTATCACAAACTCTGTGGCTTAAAACAACAAATTTATTTTCTCACTGTTCCACTGGCCAGAAGGCTGAAATCAGGGTGTTGGGAGGGCCACGCGCTCACTGGAGACTCTGGGGAAGAATTCTTCTTTACTTTTTCCAGCTTCTGGAGGCATGACTTGGCTTCTGGCCATATCACCCCAATTTCTGCCTCTTCTATCACATGGGACTGTCTCTCCTCCGTGTGTCTCTTACAAGGACACCTGCCACTGGATTTAGGGTCCACTCAGATAATCTGGGATGATCTCATCTCAAGAGCCTTAATTTTATTATGTCTGCAAAGACCCTTTTTATAATTAAGGCCACACATACAGGTTCTGGGGGTTAGAACGAGGACATATGTCTTGCAGGGAGACCATTCAGGCCACCACAGTGAAACATTAGTGTCCCACAGTACAAATGAACACGTGAGGAAGCTGAGGCACGGTTTTCTTTTTTCTAGGCTGCAAAATGCCTATAGCAATAGTAGGTTATATGAAAGGCACGCTAACCCAGCAGCATCTGCTGGTCCATGTTGGCTGGGCTTTAGACCCCTTTGGCCGGGACTGGGCAGGAGTTAATTGGATAAACAACTAAGCCAGATGCATTCAGAAAGACAAACTGAAAGATGGCAGAAAGACAAGAATGTCTTACATTGTTCAAAAGTAGATATGGTAATGCTGGTCACATGCTCTGAATAGGGCATAGGGCTAGGCTCAGCACAAGTGCTTATTTAATAAATGCTAAGTCTCATCATCGCACCTGTGATTATCATGATTGTGTATTTACATCTATATCGTACACCTTTATATTACTATGGAGGATGATAATTGATAAGCTAAGAGAAGAGACTCCTGCCAGGATATGAAACAAAGAATTAAGCTGAGTCTATAAGTCACCAAATGGGTTTCGGTGACAAAAACCTTTCTATATGAGCTCTCCCAGCTCTTTGGTGATGCCGTTACCCGTGGTCATGCTTGTTCACGGCTCCCTTTATATGCCCATCCTTCTTGTGTATGATCATCAGGATGGCACTAATTTGGGTTTGCGAATGAGGTTTTTTTTGATGTTGTCATGTCAGCATCTGGATTCAAGATGGGATGCTTCCCAGACCTGGACCCTCCGGTGTGGCCCAGGGAGCAGGCCCAGCCCCTCCCCCCGATCTAATCACCCCCAGGATCCTGGGGGATTTGCTAATGGGCCCAGGAAACCATAAACAGTAATGAAAGCTTGTGTTACTGCGGGCACGGGGTTGCCCTTCCCCATCATTACACTGGGGGATCTTCCTTCTGCCTTTGAACTGGACGAGAAGGTTCTTTTTCCCTGTGGCATTCATTCGTCCCTGCACCCCGCCCCGTTTGTCCGTTTGTTCATCCATTTATTCATCCATTCATTTGTTCAGTAAACCATTGTCAATTGCCCACTAAGAGCAAGTTTCGAGCATTGCCCTTCCTCTTCACAACAGAGGAGGTGGGAGGTAGCCGGCTTCCCGCGGGACAGGAAAGAAGGGCAGTGGGGTCTTCTTCTAAGAGCTGCCCGGCTGACCTCACCCAGCTCTTCTACTCCAGAGCCCCGTGACCTTGGGAGAATCCTTTAGCTCTTCTCATTTGGGGAGACTAATAGAATAGCAGCTGTCTTACAGAGCAGCTTTGAGAATTGAAGGAGGTCATGGAAATGACCCCCTACTCGCTGCCTGGCACAGGGCAGTGAAGGCGTGAGAACTCGGATGCTTCTCTAGCGCTCATTCTGTGCCAGACGCTCTTCTGAGAACCTTACACCCGTGAACCTGTCCCATTCTCCTGTAGCACCCCACTGCCTGCCTCTCTGCACACCCCTGGTCTGCCCACTGCACATCAGGACCTCCACTGCAATCACCTGGTGCCCTGAACCCACCCTGCTTTTCCATACCTACCTGCCCTCATGCCCAATGCAGCCCCTGCTTGCCCCTGGGCTCCAGCCTCCCCTGCGGAGCCTGTCAGATGCAGATTCCTGGACCCCCCAACTCAGAAATGTCAGGGCCTGTCATCTCTTCACAAGCGCCCTGGGAGATTTTGATGCACATGCAGGTTGGAAAGTTGTTCTGTAGGGAACTGAAGGTCGTGCCCAAAAGTCTTAGCTCCTTTGTCTTAGGATGGCCAGCACGCTGCTGGGGAGCTTCATCGTTGATGTTGCAAACATTCCACCAAACGCAGGAAGTGAGCAGGAAGCAAACGCACCTTGAATCTGCAAAGTGCCTTGTGGACGGACGGTCAAGGTCGTCGGGGGCAGCACCTCCCCGTGGACCTGGGTGGTTCTGGTAGGACGTGCTGGAAGCAGCTACAGTAGCTGTTTTCCTGGCTATGGAAGAGCAAGTTCAACACACACTTTCAGGGTGCCTTCTGCGTGCCAGCGCCTCACCTGGCCTGGGAGCCAGAGAGGGTCAGGTGTACTTGGTGTTCCCCAGGAACTTGGACTATAGGATGATGAAGGCACCTTCAGCCAGGCCTGGGGGGAGGGGACCCTGAAGACCTGCTTTTTCTTAAGGGAGCTCACCAGAGGCCTGCTACAGTGTCCAGAACTTGGGAGAACCCACCTTGTTGGCTCAGGAAGGAAATTTCCACAGTGCTTGTCCAGGGACACCAGTTTCTCCAGTGGAGACCAGCACTGAGCACCTCCGGGGTGGGGAGCCAGGAGCGAGCCGGGAGCTGGGACACCACAGGTGGTGTCTAGTCCTGGCTCTGCCCCTTGGCCCTGCCATTGAACCTCTCTGAGCCCCAGCTTCCCCATCTGAGAAATGGGTATAGTAATTATTACCTTAGAGGAGGTGTGGAGGGTTGGTGACGAGGTGCATACGCGTAGCTAAGGCAGTGCCAGAGATGCAGCAGGAACTGACTTCACCTTAGTCACTGTGTTAACCAGCGAGGATGCGCACTCTGGGGAGGCCCCTGCAGGCCTGACCTCTGTGCTGGAGCGTGGCAGGGGGTCGGTCACAGTCAGCTGACCGGAACCAAGCTGAAAGGGGTGAGGAGGGGCGGTTTGGAAGGGAGGCCCCGCGAGTCACTGAGTGGGGGCAGCCGCAGAGGCCGGGGCTCAGCCCTGGGTCTGGGCGAATGTCGGGTCTGGGAGTCTCCAGATAGACCTGCCCGCCCCTTCTGCTCCTGGAGCTCAGGGCGCCTCTGGCCTTGGACCAGCTGTGTGAACCCTGTGGGCAAGTCCCGCCACACTTCGGGGTCTGCCTTTGCTTATCTTGACAACAGCAGAGCGACAGTTTCAGCCCCCGGGGCTGATGTGAGAGAAACCCGGCGGCACACTTGAGTATCAGGAGCAAGGTGCACCCCCAGGAGCTGCGGTTGCCACTCAGAAATCACGGCATCGGCTTTTCCTGCCTGGGTGATTCTCAGTCAGAGGGGACTGACCCCTCCTCTCCTCCTCCCGCCCTGTGAGAATCACTGTCTAGTCTATTGAGAGTAAGTTGTGTTGCCAGATTTAGCAAATAAAAAGGTTGCCCGATTAAATTTGATTTCGGAGAACATTTTTTTTTTTTTAGGATGAGTACATCCCATATAATATTTGGCATCTGCTTATAGTAAAAAATGATTAGTTGTCTGTCTGATGTTCAAATTTAACTGGTGTCCTGACTCTTATGCAGCGACTCCCATCCCTGGGTAC